GCTGATCTTGGGCAAGAAACATGAAGGAGATCCATCCTGCTCCAACCTGTGTTCTCTCCCACCTACCCCTGGCCACAAGGACCACATGCCATACTTGTGGTATCGTGATCATTTTGACAGGAAGAAACTAAGATATTATGAGACTGGTATTATGAGATTGACTACAGGATAAAAAGGAACTGGGCTGGGAGGATATAAGCTTCTTAACCAAGCACAAATAGCTGAAATAATAGAAAAGGGAATCTAGAAAATAACTGATCATGTAAATTGCTTTTTGCAGGAGTACTGTCCCTTGGTAAATTTTGCCCTGGGATGAAAATGTACAAAGGATTGGAAAATATTCTTCCAAGGAAAGAAATAATCCTCCAGTAGCAGAGAGATGGACTAGATGACCTATTACTGCAGGTCTCTGGCTTAAACATAAATCTTACACTTCCTTGATGCAGTGAAAGCCCTTTTATGAGCAGTTTTTCTTTGCAGCTTCATGGATTTTGCTATAGTAAAAAATATAAAATAATTGGTACATATTGTATTAGCCTTGCTAGAAATCATCATCAAGAGAAAACTGCATCTTTCCCATCTGTGATAGCCAAAGAACAGGGCAGATGTCCACTGTCATCAGAAAACAAACAGGAAGGAAGAAAATCAATTTCTTCTACTGGTTAGAGAGTGCCTGAAAAGCTTCTTGCTGGTCCGTGTCTAACAGGCACTGACAGAGAAGTGGGTTTGAACAGGTAGAGGTGTTTGCATCATGTTTTATCCACACACACATAAAAAAAAAAGTATCAAATGAGTAGTTGATGATCCTGGCAGATACGTCACCATGCTGCTCTGCCTGGGCTTTTCTATGCAGCTGAGTGACAGCAGTGACAATGTGCTGCTGCCGGGATACAATTTGTTTTAGCTGCCTTCTTTTTTGCATGAAAGAATTCAATGATGGGGTATGTTTTCTGCTCTGGACCCTATTGTTTTGGAAAAACCTGCTTAGCTGGCTCTCTTTCACAGAGAAGCACCCTCAGGTGATGCAGGTCCCTCATAGGTGCCCTCAACTGTCCTTCTTACCCTCCATCCCTGCAATGGAGATGCCAGCTTTAATCTAGCTGCGAGATACTAAACCCAACCTAGCCTAGGCCTCAGCAGTCACCACCAGAGGTGGTTCCGCTCTTCAGCATCTCCTAGGATCTCAGACTGTCTCCATCATCTACATATATCCTAGGAAAAGTCCTCCAGCTTAAGCATCTGACATACGGTTGGATGAATCTGGTACTTTGTGCCTTATAATGGCATAACCATAGTCACTAAGTTTGGAAAAGCATTAAAAAGTGAGGAGGCTTGTATTGTCATTAGGGTAAATGCTTAACATCATTATGATAACGGAGTCGGGATTCCTTTGAGTGTATCTGCCATTTGATTCCTAACCTCAAAGACCAAAAAAAAGTGACCTGCTTTCAGAGACTGGCTGCTCGGTGTCACAGGAGAGCAGATTTCTTGTTAAGGGGATCCATATGGATATACAAATCTGTCATTGCTTTTCAAAACTGAATTAGTCTTTAGTTTGCTTTTACTTAAACTGAAAGCATTGCGTTAGCAACCAGGAGGACTGGATATTATTAGTAACCTTTTACAGGAAATGTGGTGTGTCATGGGTTGAGCATATATTTTTCTGGAAAATGCAGTGTACAGTGAAATGGGGGGGAATAAGTAAACATAAAGTGCTTATACCACAGTTCACTCTATTTGAACGCCCAGCAATACACCTCTGAGGTTACCTGCTCATAAAGGAAGGAGGGAATGATATTTGAGATTTATTTTTGGCTAAAAGCATGAAGTGCAAATAGCTTTTTGTGCAAAATGTCAGCTGCATTTCTGGGAAGTAAACAACATTGCCTTAATAATCCATGGTAAACAACAACACTAAGAATGTTACCACCTATTTTATGCACCTGCAGGTGTATCTGGTTAAACTTATGTAACTGTAGTTTGACATACGAAATAAATACAGAAGAGTAAAACAAGGCATTTCAAACAAGTCATTCTTTGAACTGCAGAATTAATGCAAAAGTATAGGATGAATTTCTGCTTCAGGTAACAGAATTTGGGTGCCTACGCAGAGATATAAATGTATGGAGAAGACTTCTGAGCTATCACTACAGTCTGCAGAGACCTAGGGCTTGGCTCAGTTTCCTCCACCTCTGCTGGGGACACTGTAGGGTATCCTCCGAGTAGACACAGATCTCCCATTACTGTGCGTGGTGTGGGGATATTGTAGGGTATCCTCCGAGTAGACACAGATCTCCCATTACTGTGCGGGGTGCTGGCCAGTTGCCTCAGGATGACTTGGGCATCCAAGGGTCAATTGGCACTAGATGACTACATATTGGCAGCTACATCCAGCTCTATCATGGTCACCTGGATTTGGTCAGGCTCCATTGTCTATATGATGAATTTCTTTTGGTTGAAATGGGGCTTAGATGCTTCATTGGACCCTCGAACTTTAGCGTTCAAGTCTGGAGGCAGCTGCCATCCTTGAAGTGTGATTGAGTTCCCTAAACACCACCAGTGTGTTGCCTGCTGCAATATCCTGTCGTATCCTGGTTGGATGATGGTTGGAGATTCAGGAGGGGACACATGTCCTGATGGTCTGGTGCAGGTGTCTCAGATAACCTCAAACAAGAGTAGACACCTCTCTTAATGTAATTGAACGGAACTTTTGAAGTCCAGAAGATTTTTATTCTTGATTTCTTTATCCCCTCCCTTCCTCCAGCTTCTTCCCATATCCCTAAGTTACTACTGGGAAGAAGAAATGTGTTTTGCTTGTTCCAAGATTTGTCTGCACTGGTGGCCTGGGCAGCGTCTCTTCTTTACCCACATGTTTATTTTCAGGGTGCTTGTAGCAATGTTGTTATCTCTGAGATCTCACTCCTTTATCAAATCTTGTTGGAAATGTCTAAAGTGATTCTGCCAAGTGACTCTTTCGCCGATGGACTCCCACTGGCTTGAGAGTATATCCAGTACTCCGGTTTTCAGCTACCTATCAGACAACATCACTTGCAATATGTCTGAGTGGGATATGTAATGGAAGATTGATTCATACCAGACCGCCACGGTGATTAAGAGGAGACCCACAGAAGCTATCAGTGACACTCCAGTATGATGGACCAGCTAAGAAACAATTAGCTTTAATCTCGCTTTACTTTAGAGCAGGGTAGTGCTCAGTGCAGCAATAGTTTATTCAGCAGTTCATAATGGACATGGGCATCTGCTGTGCTACCAACTGCTTTCATTTATAATCAGGGTGATTGCAAAGAGTACTTTACAAAACAGTACTGACAGGACACTTCAAATGCAGTGTCATCAGAGTGATTAAGACCAGGGCTAGTTTTCCAAATTCCGGCTCTCATATTCTGAAGATTTGAAATAATGGGAAACAGAGTGGAGGGATGACAACAAAAGCCTTTGGCTCTTTGGTAAGGCCCAGTGCTACTTATACTGTTTATTTTGGCCTGGTAGACTTTATCAATTTAAAATACTATCAGAAAGACAGAAGCCAGGGGACTTACAAGTATTTCTGGCAGCATCAAGAGATCATAAAGAAAATATCTTCACAAAGTCCATTTTCTTGCTCAAATGGCAGCACTGATCTCTCCTTTGCAGTGTCACAGAGCTGGCACCCACCCACCTCGTACAGGCAGCAGATGAGTTGATATCGGGCAATTTGCTCCTCATTTATTTTGGGTAAATATCTTTTAGCTGATATTGGTTTGAGTCACCTTTGCCTCATTCCCGTCATCCCAGGCATCTGCCTTTGGTGTGAGTTCCTTGCCCTTGTCAATCTGGCACGAAAGCTGTGATTCATTCCTTCTCAGACCACAAGCAGGTGTAAAGTCCCATGTACAGCAGCTGGTGATCAGCCTGGAAGATGTGTTACTGGGAACAGCCTTGTAGAAGAAACTGATTTTACTTATTGGTTATAATTGTATAGATTGGGAAGGAAAAAAAAAATCCTAGAAGGCAGAAAGAGGTTTAAATCATCAAACACATCACCAAAATGTGCAGTTGAGTCTGATTTTGCAGTGCACTACCAAAAAGTTTGGCAGTTCTAAAGTTGCAGGAACAAGAAGAAGCCAACTTATAGTCTCCAGTTCCGTTTGGATCTTCCCATACATCAGTGAAAATCTTCAAATAGGTTTTTTCCTGATTAGTAGCAGCAATTCCAGATCCAAGCCTGCTTTAGGGGTGAGCCCTGCTCAGATTTAGCCACATTAATCCTGAGCTAGATGGCTTGGTTTTTGCCAGGGGGCAAAGGTTTTGAAACTATTTGACCTCTTATGTGTTTATTGACAGGCACAATAGATTTTCTTCATGGTCCAGAGTATATTTAATCAAGACTATCTGTGAAAATGCATACAAATGTTTAGAAATGTTTCCAAATATGCTATTTGGTTTCAGTCCATGCATATATATCTCATTATGTACTAAGAAATATAAATAACAATATTCACATTGAGTGAAAACTAAAAAGGTCCTGAAAACAGTCTTCTCTTAGTCTTTTTCTACATGTAAGCAGTATCTTTCTGAATGTCATTAAGTATTGCAATTAGTGATTTTCTCCAAGATGGAATACGAGCAATTACAGGAAATTCATTATACTACCACTTATGAGAATATTTACATTATGTAGCTTCCAATGACAGTTGTATCCCATATTCTGTTTCTGAGCTTTGCCTTTTCTATTTTGTGTTTTGGGGTACTGGAGGGTGAAAGGGAACATCAGAATGAGTTATTGTCCATGCTAAATTTCTGCAGCTGTAATTAAACTGTTTGGAAACGTCTTCACTCCTTTTCCTACTGAAATCACCTCTAATTAGAGGTATCTCCATGAACACTGGTGGTGATACAGTGGCACAGCCTAGATGAGACTCAGTCCCTCCCGCTTCCAACACCAAACATTTGTCCTCCACAATTAATCACTGATTCCCTTTTAACTTTATTGCTTTTAGGTGCTCAACCTGTTCCTTGCCTTGCTGCTGAGCTCTTTCAGCGCTGACAACCTCTCGGCACCAGACGAGGACGGGGAGATGAACAACCTCCAGCTTGCTTTTGCTCGGATCAACAGGGGTCTTCAGTACGTGAAACACACAACCTGGAATTTTTGCTGCAGTGTCCTCCGGCACCCCAAGACGACAGCTGAAAAGAAGGCGATGATGAAGCTTGCTGCCCAGAATACAGGTGCCCTTAATAACTGTGTGAACAGTCTCGCGGCCGCTGAGCTTGGCAAAGAGATGGAGAATCACAAAGAGAACCACGCTGAGGATGGGATGAATAAAAATGGGGAGAAACACCTAGGAATTACAGACAATGATGATTTTATGACCAATCCTGACCTGTCCATTTGTGTTCCTATTGCTGTGGGAGAGTCAGATATCGAGGAGGAAGATGAGGAGCAGAGCACCTTTACTGAAATGGAGCAGGTAGGCAACTAAAATGTTTACTTGTTGCAGTTTATTAAGAGGGCCTTTGTTCCCACCCTTGCTCTGGATCCATGGCTCGTGATGCAAATGTCCTATGGCCTAATCATGCCTTTGATATGTCGTTAACTTCAGAAGAAGTTACAGGTGCATATCCAAGAGCAAAATTCAGTCTCCAACAAGAGGCATTCCTTTTCTTTGTATTCTTTGTGCTTGTCTCAATTAACTCTTCTAACCAGAGCAATTAAACCCTTTCTCACACAGGCGGGTTCTTTTTTTTCCTTTCAGCTGAATCATGGGAATGTTAGAGAACAAATCTTAGGCTCTGTGACTATGACAGGGAATTTTCTCAGTGTGCAAAAATGGGCAATGGCTTGGTTTGATTTGTGTAGCAAGAAGTGAGGACCAGGTAATTCTCTTAAAAGTACAACATGGCAAAGGCTGATATGATAAGGCACCAGAGGAAGAGAGAAGGTGTGTAGTCATATGTATTCAGACAGGAAAAATAGTTATTTGCTTGTTATTTGGTGTGACATGGAAGATTTTTGTTTTCCCCAGAGCACCCTGTAGTAATGGCTGAAAATTCCTGCGTGGTTCAAGGTGTTGGTGTAAAACGGAGAAGAAAGATCTTTGCAGGAATGCTTTTCTTTCTCTCCTTTCCCCTCTCTCCCCTTTCTACCAGCTTTATCTCTCGGCTCCAAGTACCATATCTAGTTAATGTTTTCCAGACCCTCGAGCCTTGATCCAGCATCCTCTGACGCCGGCTGAGACCCATGGAGTTCAGCAGGAACTGGATCAAAGCTCCTGGTTCAGATCCAGCTGTCAGGAGGGATCTCCGATCTCTCTGTTAAGGGGGAGAAAGTTTTGAAGCAAAGCTGTCCTTAGAGAAGGGCTGTCCTAAAAAAGCCCCAAGGAAGGAATCTGTGTCAGGAGGCACAAATTGGCTCCTAATGTTAATTTCTGCTGCTCTGTTGTGGAAATCTTTTCGCTGTTGGTGCATCTGCTCACCAGCAATTCTCCCCTTTGGGAGCTGAAGGGGCCAGAAAACTTTATCATTAAACTTCACCATCTAAATAGACAGTTAGGTAACAAGAAGAGAAGGCTGAAGTTTTGGGTAAACATTTTTAGGGACTTTTTTGTATCTTTTTTTAGGAATACTTTTATTGAAATGACCTGTGGTGTGGGTGTGGGTGGCATGGCTTGTATCTTATCTTTTTCTTTGAAGTCCTTGTCTATTTCCAGTGTTGTATTAGTTGAAGCTACAAGCAGAGTACACTTGAAAAGTGAAATATGAATATAGTAGACGGCTTTTTTATTATCAACTGATCTGCAAATACTGACTACTATAGATGTGTTTAATAGTATATAAATGTATTTAGTTCTGGAGGTTTGGGTCTGTTGGTTGTTTTTTTTCTTTTTGGCCTTTAAAGATATCCACACCTTTCTGCTGCACCTGACAGAGGGTCACAATCTTAAAAACTTTCAGATTTTTCTTTCACAGTGCAAAGCAAAAGTTTGTTGACATGCACGTAAGGGTCCATGAGACCTGGAAGCGTGTGACATGTATCCACACGTGTGTGAGTGTTGCATGACTGTATTCCCCCTTCCTGAAGATAAATAGCAACTTTCCTAATTGTAAGATGAATTGCAGCATAGAGAATGGAAGGTTTGGGATTTTTACATCTTACCATACCTTAAAAGTATAAAAGATTTCTATTGAGCTGCACAACCTGTCCATGTAGGTGCTGGTGTGTATATTAGTGGACAGAACAGGTAGATGTCTATTATATGCTGTACAGCAAATAAATGCAGAATTAGACCTTTAGTAAGATCTGTTAGAGTCATGAGTCAGGGAGCTGATGGAGAAAAATAAGCATTTTAGCAAAATGGAACATTATGAATAAAAGTAGATTTGAAAATATTAACAAAACTTCTTCAAATTGTTTTAGCAATATTGAAACATTATCATATGTAATATAAACATTGAGGATTCAAGGTGAAACAAAATAGGAGGCAACAAAACCCAGTAGGAGAAGCAAACCAAAACACTGTTTTCACACTGTATCCTTAAAATGAGGTTTTCAATAAACGTTAGAGTACCATTGTCACATTACCAGAAGATATTTGGATTACAGTGAAATAATATAGTTGACTGCTGGTATGTGCATTAAATAGAAGGCACGGAGTCGAGAAATGTATTAATTAGCTTTGTCACTAGTGTTTTCCGGGCTTTGACAAACAGCTGCTGCAGGTCACTGCTGTTCCCCTGTGCATAGCCCTGATCAATGGTTTTCAACCTTTGTCTGTGGGCCTGAGGGGTCTGCTGCTGGAAACGTCCAAGCTCGAAGCAAGTTCATAAATCCAACAAACAATTTTATCAAATTTCTAGAGAGGAAAAATGTGTGTGTGCAAGGGGGTTGCAACTCAAAGACTCAAAATGCATTGGCATAATAAATAAACAAAAATAGGAAGAAGCTCAACAGCAGAAATGGTAATTGTGTGATGAGCTTTGCATTTGCTTTCCTGCAAAACCCTCATAAATTTGCGCAGCTGTAGATGTCTCCATAAGGAGCAGAGCCATGAGAAAGCAGATCCCAAACAATTCAAAGATCTGTCATTTTTAATGGTGCCCATTCCAAAGGCATATGATCTCTGGACCCACAAAAAAAACCCTCTCTTGATCAACACCTAGGTTAGTGCAGAAGAAATTATTGTACCTGGAGATCACTATAAAATCCCAGTTCCCTGAATATAGAGTTGTGGGCATTACAGTGTGTTAACCTGTGCATCAAGGGCAACCCTGGGGGATAAAATTCCCCGCTCACTCCTAGATGCTTTAATCCTGCGAGCCCCAACTCCGTGGAGGTCCTCACCTCCTTCCCTCCACGATGTCCACAATAACCACGGCAGAGCTCACAAAGGAAGAACAACATGAACAGGAGCAAAATTTACATGATTGCATTGAAAGGGCACAATTACCGTGAAGTATCTTTCTGTGTGGAGGGCACCATACAGAAACTACCAAGGGGACACTAAACATTCAAATCTATTCTAACTTTTCCCTAATTACAATCCATATTTTTACATATTTAAATATTTTAGCATGTACAACGAGAATGTGTATGTATATTTACTTCTCGGCAGAAGACAATGTGCCCTGCTTCCCTTTAAAGTTGTTGGCTGACCTGGAATTTAGCAGCCCTTTGGCATCATAGCCAGAACCTGCCTTCCTCCTGATGCACGTAGGTTTTTGGGCAATAGCAGCAGAGAAGAGGTGAAGGGAGATGCACAAACAGGGAGTATATGTATATATGTCGTGGTGGAGAACTAAAGGGAAGCTGGTCTTGGGCAGAACTGCATAGTTGTGGATCCCGATGGGGTATTTTAAGGTGATGATCAGCTGATCTTACGGCTCCTGTACCAGTTCTCTTCCCAAAAAGTCACCAAACTACTCTAAAGTAAGTCTTTGTGGCTGTGAGAAATGGGACCCACAGTGACACACGCAGCAGTCTGAAATTTCAGATGATGAGAAACCCTTCTGTGACTGCACATTTTCCTCTGAGTAATAGAAATGTCTAAGTTTTAAATTCAGCTGCCATTCCTAACTTTTCCCTAATTACAATCCATATTTTTACATATTTAAATATTTTAGCATGTACAATGAGAATGTGTATGTATATTTACTTCTTGGCAGAAGACAACGTGCCCTGCTTCCCTTTAAAGTTGTTGGCTGACCTGGAATTTAGCAGCCCTTTGGCATCGTAGCCAGAACCTGCCTTTCTCCTCATGCACATAGGTTTTTGGGCAATAGAAGGAGAGAAGAGATGAAGGGAGATGCACAAACAGGGAGTATATGTATATATGTCTCTCAGGTGCACAGCTAGGTGTACCTACACAATCCTTATGGGTCCTTTGCACTTTTCTCTGTCGGTTGAAGATCCTGGACCATATTCTGTTCATCCTGCGCTTGCATAAGTCCAGACTCATTTGTCGTGGTGGAGATCTAAAGGGAGGCTGGTCTTGGGCAGAACTGCATAGTTGTGGATCCCAATGGGGTATTTTAAGGTGATGATCAGCTGATCTTACGGCTCCTGTACCAGTTCTCTTCCCAAAAAGTCACCAAACTACTCTAAAGTAAGTCTTTGTGGCTGTGAGAAATGGGACCCACAGTGACACACGCAGCAGTCTGAAATTTCAGATGATGAGAAACCCTTCTGTGACTGCACATTTTCCTCTGAGTAATAGAAATGTCTGAGTTTTAAATTCAGCTGCCATTTCTATTATCAAAGCTTACACTGGCAGCAGCCGTCTTCCTGAAAGCTACCGATTTGTGGCACTGCCATTGAGAGGGGTTTGAAGCAATGAGCCCACCTGATAGCTTCTAAATCTTCTTTGATTACTCAGATGCAAGTGAGATGCTCTGCCGGCTAAGAGAGCCAGGAGACATGTGCCTGTAGCTCACACATATGGTGGAGGCATCAGAAAGAAAAGCTGAACATTTAAAGTCAGCAGAGACTCAAGAAACTGGCAGAAGAGGAGAGAAGCTGAGAAAGGACTGCCTTGAGTTTAATTCATTTGTCATTATTGTGGGATATGTGTGTTGATGCCCATCACTGCAACATTTTAGTTGATGTCTTTACCTAACCCCGCTCCTTGTCCTGCTCATAGTGCTGGGGAGGTCTCTCCCTGTCAGTCCACAAGATTGCTTCAGGGTTTGATGATAAGTTTAGCCTCATACTGAGAACAATAACCGTCTTCCATTTTTCCTCTGTCTTTGAGATAGATAATTTAAACATGGGTTGTCCTAGCAGGAAAACAGCTGCCAAAAACCCAGCAGCAGTCACAGAAACATGCTGGTTGCATCTTCTCAAGGTTCTTTGAGGTTCTCATTTTGGCTTCCTAGGTGGTTAGAATGTGGAAATGGCTTTCTTGAATGTCCATAGAATGTCTTGTAATTGCTTATAAAGACGATCTTTTCATATGTGACATCAACTTTCAGTTTT